CCCCTGCCACCCACCCCTCTTCTCATCCTCTACTTACAGGCATCTGGGCTGAGGAAAGCCCCCTTGGGCGAGGGAGGGATGCCCACCCAGACAGAGATCGGCTTTGGGTACCCAGGGTCCACCGAGCGCGTGTCCTCGTTAAAGCGCCAGTATCTGGGGGAGAGAGGAGGGGAGCAGGTGAGGAGCAGGGGGGTCCCTGCTGCCCAACATTGCCTCCCCTGCCAGGGACCAGGAGGCAGCAGGGCAGGGATCCACACTCACCTGTCCCCACGGAAGAAGAAGGTGTGCCCTGTGGGTTCCCACCAGACGGCCGTGTCGATGCTGTCGTAGGGGATGCCCTGCCCGTAGGTGACCAGGGGCTGTGGGTACCCGGGCTCCAGGTTGGCTTCTCGGAAGATCCAGTAGCGGTCACCTGGAGGGGGAGGAGATGGAGCAGGGGGATGAGACAGTACTGCCCAGCAGCTGCGGCAGGTGCACACGCGGACAGGACGGGGGTAAACACCTGCAGCCACCCTGGACCCTTGGGATCAGGCAGCAGCTCTGGCTGGGGAGGTGATCAGGATTGGGATAAAGTCAACCAACATTCAGTAGCTTTGAGGGAGGAGGGCACTAGGGCCTCCCCTCCACCTCAGCCCTCCCACCCAGCTTCCCTGCTCACCTTTAAAGAAGACGAACTTCCCATCGTGCCTCTCGTAGGCGGCATCGATGTCCCCAGGGAGGCCCCGCCAGAAGTGTCCGATGGGCATGGGGTAGTTGTCCAGCACCCGGTTGTGCCGGACCCTCCAGAACCACCGGCCCTGGTGAGAAACAGGCTGTTGGCAGAGGATGGGGAGGACACAGGGACATGGTCCAAGTGCCAGGCTCCTTGCTTGGGGGTCCTCCCACCCACGCACCAACCACTTCCCCAGGGAAAGGGCAGGAGGGGGTCCTGGCAGGCACCTTGAACACAAACATCTCCCCACGTAGCACCGCCACCGTGTCGAAGTCCCCGTCACAAATGTCGGGGCCATACTGGTCCGGTCGGTCCGGGCTGCCAGGTTTGGGGGGTCGGTCTGGTTTCCCCGGAGGGGGAGGTTTAGGGGGTCTCTGGTCTGGCCTGCCAGGTCTCCGGGGTGTTACGGTTGGCAAAGGCTTGGTGGGCTGAGGGTGCCCATCCGCGGTACCTGGATCGGGCAGGCAAGAGAAGGGATGTAGTGAGGCAGACCAGCAGTACCTCAGTTTCCCCATGCACATGCCCAGGATCCCAGCTCTGGGCTGATCCCCCACCCCTCTCACCGTAGAGCTGCTGGATGCCCTTGAGGTCATCCTCGGGCAGCTGGAAGTTCTCTGTGTCCATCCACTGGTAGAAGGGGGCCATGATAGCGCTGGGGTTGCTAGAGTGCTCCAAACCCAACGAGTGCCCCAGCTCGTGCACAGCCACCAGGAAAAGGTTGTTCCCTGCATGGAGAGGCACCATCAGCAGAAGGGAGTATGGGACATGATGCATGGGGTGGTTCCTTGGACCCAGCACCCTGCAACCCAGCTCCAGAGGGAGCTGCCTGCATGACCCGTGGTGGAGTCACTCTCCCTGCCCCTCCTGCCCACACCAGTGCAGCTCCCTTCCCTCAAGCACAGGAGGCCACCAGGCTCCTCTGGTCACCTTCACCACCTCCTTGACCCTCAACTCACCAGACACATCCGCGTTCTCCAGTGTCCAAGGCTCATCCAAGTCGAAATGCGTGTCCCCCCCCATGCCAGGGCCGGGGAAATAGGCGTGAGCCAAAAATCCCCCGAGGCCATCAAAGGGGGAGCTGTCTCCGTGGAAGCCAGAGGCAAAGAGCACCATGATGTCAGCCTCCTTCTTCCGCTTCTGCCGGATGTCCTCGTAGGCCACCTCCCGGAAAACCAGCGGCGTGGCTTGCTCCCACACCCGGAAAGCTCGCCGGACAGCCTCGTACGAGTTGTATCGACCCAGCTTCTCCGTGTAGTTTTGGATGCTGGGGATACAGAGCTGATTAGGGATGGCCCAGGGCAGCGCTCACTCCGCTGGGGGGGGGTCCATGGCTTTCCACGGGCTGGGGGATGGGAAGCCCTGGCAGCGCTGGGTACCTGAAGGTGAGGTGGCTCTGGCTCCAGCGCCGCCCCGTCAGCGCGTACCGCTTCCGCCGCATGTTGGACTTCGTCCGTGCCCCAAACTGGTCTGGGACCCCACAGCGGGGACGTTTCATCCACCTGCAAGGATGACACTGAATCAGGGCTCAGCCCACAGCAGCCAAGGTCCCTGAGGGGTTACAGCAACCGCAGACAGCAAGGAAGGTGTCCTGGCTGCAGGGGTGCAGTCCCCAACAGGAGAGATGCAAATCCCACGGGAGACAGATCACCCGCTTTTCCAGATGCAGGCAGAGCTCCATGGCTGGCAAGAAAAGCCAAAGAGCCCGGGAGCAGAGCTGCTGTCAGCCAGAGCAAGAGGACATGGACAAACTCACGCTATGGTCTCCTCGTCCAGGACGCCGGTGACGGTGATGCCGTAAAACTTCTGCATCTCGGCAAGGGCCGAGGAGAAGGTCTGAGCCGAGCGCATGGTGGACATCCGCCGGCTGGGCTGCGGCAGGTACCCATAGAGCCGCAGCCATGCCTGTGCCAGGAGAGCCCAGCGTGAGCCCGAGACACGGAACAGCCCCACGGGGCACCTGGAGCTCCCCGAGGCCCCAGCGGAGAAAGATCCACCCCCTGCCTGATTCTACCCCCTCCCCCTGCCTGATTCCACCCCAGCCCCGGCACGCAGCAGTGGGCAGTGGGGCATACAGCCCCCACCCTGCCCTGCCCAGCGAGGGGAGCCGGTGCTCCTGGGGGGCTGCTGCCGGATGCCTTGACCCCAGGGAGAAAGCAGGACTGGCAGGGGGCCAGTCGTCCTGCAGGCTGCTCGTCCCCTCCGTGTCCCCCGGGAGCTGCAGACGGATGTGGGGTCAGGGCCCTCCCTGCAGCCGGGGACCCCCACACTGGCCTGCACCCACAAAGGGGCTTCTGTCCTGTGGGGCCGCAGCCCCTGGGCGGGGGGCAGGGGGGTGCAGGGGCTGGGGCGCGCCGGGGCTCTTCCTTCCTGCCCCAGCCTCCACCTCCTCTTGTCTGCCCTAATTGCATTTTATTTTTATCTTTATTATTAGTCTTTTGTGACTTCTTTTTTCCCTTTTCCCTTTTTTTATTTTCACTTCCTACGTTTTGGGGGGTTTCCTTTTAATTTTTAAAACTTTTTTTTTTTTTTCCTCTGAATTCCTTCCAATTCTTATTCCTTTTCCAAGCCTTTTTCCTTTTCCAAACATTTTTCCTTTTCCAAGCATTTTTCCTTCTCCAAACCCTCTTTTCAAGGTTCTCCAATCCGTTTCCTATTCCAATCCTTTTCCTAGCCCCCCCACCTTTTTTTTTTTTTTTTCTTTCCATCCAAAACCGGTTAACGCTTTAACTTTCAAAAAAATAACAAAAAAACAAAACCACGTTCAATCCATTAATCCCTTTCACTCCCGCACCCCCTTTCTCCTGGACAGGGTGGCGGAGAGCAGAGACTTTATCAAAAGCCCTTTCACCCCCTCCCGCGCCGGGCACAAAGCGCTTCCTTCCCCCTCCCGCCCCCCTCCCCAAGAGCCTTGCGCCCGGCTGGGGCAGCCCGGACCCGCGCCCTTCCCCGCCCCGCCTGCACCTGCGCCCGCCGGCGCTGCCCCACCCTCCGCAGGTGCAGGGGTGCCGGGCAGCGGTGCGGGGTGCCCGCGGTGCCCCCGCTCACCTCGGCGTTGATCTCCTCGCCCGCCGCCCCCACCAGCAGCACCAACAGCACCACGAGCGGCGGGAGGCGCCCGCCCGCCCGCCAGGGGGCGCCGCCGCCTCCTGCCATTCCGCGCCGCCGCCGGTTCGCGGCTGCCCCCGGACGGGCCGGGCCGGGCCGGGCCGGGCTGGGCCGGGCCGGGCCGCGCCGAGCGCGGCGGTGTCCGAGCTACGCCGCCCTCATGGCCCGCCGGGGCCGGGCCGCCGCGGGGGGCTGCGCGCGGTGCATGGGCGGCGCTGCCAGGCGCGGCCCGTCGCCTCCCGGCCCGCCTTTGTGCGTGAGGTCAGGACGGCGGCGCACGGCACATGGGCGGCCGGCGCGGCGCGGCGGGGCTCGGCTCAGCCGAGCTCGGCTTGGCTCGCCTCGGGTCCCCTGCCCTGCCCTGCCCGCCGCCGGGAGCACCGGAGCGGGTGGCGAAAGGCGGGCGCGGCGGCAGCGGCGCGGGAGCGGGCGGGGCGGGGCCGCGCCAGGGGCGGGGCTTGGGGAGCGGGCGGGGCCTGCGAGGCGGGGGCGGGGCCACGGCGGCCTCACTCCCCCCATCCTCCCGCGACCCCCGGTCCCGCGTGTGCGGGGGGAAACGCAGCCCGACTCCCCCCTATCCCCACGGCCGCTCCCACCCGTATACGAGGCCCCCGCAGGCGGCCAGCCCAGGCCCTGCCGCCCAGCCCCGCCCTTTCGGGCCCCACCGACAGCCGCCTCATCCCCGGACTTTGCCCCCACTGCCCTTGTCCCCTGTGCCGGGGGTCCCTGACACCACCGGTGTTACACAACTAGGTGCTGTGCCAGGCCGGGCCCTGCGGCAGGGGGGAGGGCGGGTTGAGCATTAACCCGGGAGAAACCGGTCATGCCAGAGCCGGTTTCACTGGAAGTCCCCAGGGGCTAAATTTATCTCTCGCTTTGTTTGTTTTTCCTTCCCCAAAAGAAAACTTGGGGTGTAATCACACGTCTTATCATGCAGATTCCCCATCCCGGAAACTAACTGGCTATAGAATTAACAGATTTTTGTTAAGGGATTTTGAGAGGCAGCTCTCCCACGGGCACGAATTGTGGCTGTGCTGAGATGCTCCCACAGACACAAAGCCACTCTGTGTGAGTGCCAGGACGGGCTGCACGGAGTTCACAGAGTGCAGGCATCGTCTCACGGGCAGCCTGCAGAAGGTGGGGATCTCTCGAAGGGAACGGCTGAAGTACACCACAGACACAATTTTATGACACAAGCAGACAGATTTTTATTGCTCAGAAGTCCCGGACAGACATTGGATAAAAGGTTCAGGGCAGCACATCAACAGTCCTGCTGTGAATACCTGAGGTTGCAGCCGACCTCCCCGCAGGAACAAAAGGATTAAAAAGGAGATTCTCCCAAGGAACAGTGCCCAGCCTGCAGTCCCTTGGGTCATCGTGGCACCCGGGGTGCTGATCCCATGGGAAAAAATGTGGAGCCTGAGCAGGAGCTGCCACCCCCTTGAGTCACCTGTGGGCATTGCCCTCCCAGCTCAGGCAAATGCTGACACTGCCCTCTCTAGGGCTCACCCACACCTGGCAGCAAGCTCTTGCTGTTTGGCAAAAGGATCAGACAATGAAATGTCTCTACAGAGGCAGCAGCCGTGTGAGAGGGACACAGCATGACTCAGGAGCTTGTCCAAGCTGCCTTTCAGGAGGGAGATGCTCTGGTGAGAGAATCCAGCTCAGTGTCCTTGCCTCTTGCTACTAAAACCTCGCTCAGAGCATCCTGACAATCTGGTAGTGCTACTTCCCACCGTGTGAGACACTCTCCCTTTAGCAACAGCTTCCCACGCTACCTTCTTCCTCTTTCCCATAAGGCATCTATGGCTATTACAGAGATTTTTTTTTTTTAATTTTTAAAAGAAAAAAATCAGCAAAATTAGTGACCGTGGGATGTCTGGAACCACCAGTGCTGACTGCAGCACATACAGCAGCGAGGATGAAACCTGCTACGAACACACATCTCCTCAGCCAGCAACTCGGACTTGGAAGTGGCCTGACTTGAGGCCACAAACAACCCAGAGATGCTGAGCAGGCAAGAAGACCATGGGAGGTGCGTGACAGCCTGTGCTACTCAGAGCTGCGTTGGAGAACAGTCCTTGGTTGAGCATCAGGCTCTTCGAGGCTCCGAAATGCACAGCCTCACCAGACCCTACCTCAAGGGGAAGGAGAAGTACTTGTTCCCTGATTTGCAGCGGATTTGCTCCCACTGGAAACGCAGCAGGAGCGCCGAGTCCTCGAACTCATCCACAATGTCCTGGAAAATAGATGCAGGAGTCAGTATCAGGAGGGAGGATCTGTCAGAGGATGGAGACAGCAGCTCCCTCTCTGAACCAAGCCAGAGACAAGTCCATTTGTGGCTGGAAGCCTCTGACTTCCCCCTGGACAGTGATTTCACTCATGTTCCCCCCAAAAGCTTTTCTTCTGAATTTCAACCCAGTGAAGTTTGTCTTGCCTGGTGAAGAGAATTTCCCACTTCCACCCTCAGCAGGGAGACATGGCTGGACTCCAGCTCTGCCCTTCCCCTGCTCTCCATGCCTGGGGCGTGGGGACACACCTGGAGCTCCCGCAGACACTGCCCCTCCAGCTTTCCAGACAGGTCTCCGACACACCAGGCCAAGCTGATGTGGAACGACGGATCCTAAAGACAAAACAAGGATCAGAACGTGAGGGCTAAAGGAGGCTTTTTTTGACAAAAAGGCTGGACTGACACCCAAGAAAGCTGCCCAAGGCAAAGGCACAAACACCATCCTCAGTCCCCCAGTGCCCACTCTATCCTAGGACAACCCTGCTTCCAAGCACAGCGGGACAGCAACTGTGACTTATGCTCTGGCTCCTGTTTATGTGAGTGAACATCTTGCAGAGAACCAGTTGGCGTGTCCAGACTGGCAGGGAGGTAAGCAGGAAACGCCTTACCTTGTAGAATGTGGGAAGGTCAAATTCCTCTAAAACTCTGTCCACCTCTGACACCAGCTCCAGCAGCTGGAAATGCCCAGCAGAGACCTCCAATCCAATAAAGGTCCTAGAGAAAGACAAGGAAAGACAGCAAGCACCCTTTCATACTGCAGAAAGCACAGCCATAAGCATGCTTAGCCCTGCATTCCTACCAGGCAAATTCCCTACTCCCTAGAAGAAAATTTGAGGAATGCCAGGTTTAAGCATCCAGGGATGCTGACTGTATTCTGAAGAAAAACAAAAATAAAGATGCAAGGAAAAGCAGGACTGGACAATAAACCACGTAGATTTACTAGATTACCCCACACAAGAACACTCATTTTCCAGGCAAAGGATGCACTGGATGGGAATTTCAGCAGAGTGCTGTGCCTGTGCAGGAGCTGCATGCAAAAGGTGGAAGTTGCTGGAGAGGTTTTACCATGGGAGAGGAAGCAGGGAACAGGAAGTGCCAAGCTGGAGAGATATGACAAAGAGGCACTTCCTCAAGGACTGTTGGGATGACACTTTCTAGAGTCATCCAGAGTCATCATTTCTTCCCCTCCAGGATGGAATTGGAAAATTCAAGTCTCACCCAGGTTCCATATCCACTTCGTCCCACCCATGACCATCTCGGGCAGCCTTTCCCACTATATTCAGCAACTTTTCCCAATTTTAATCACCTTTGCTTTGGCATTTAAACCGCTTAATTGCATTCAACTGGAATGAGGCTTCTGAGCTGACGCCCAGGAGAATTAACACCATCTCAGCTATTTCTCTCCAGCTCTTGCAAGGCCTGCACTACGATTTCATGACTGGCACTGCTGCCAAAAGAGGTGGTCCCAGCCTCGCTCGCCCCAGGCTGCGCACGCTGGCACGAGGGCTTGCAAAGCTGCCCAACAAACCAGATGGGAGACGGCAGCGAATGCAGCTGCCTCCCTCAGCTGCTGGGAAACCACGGCACGAGGCTAACCACAGCAGAAAGGGCTGCCTCGGGTCATGGGGTGAACAGCTCCTCTCTTCAGAAGGCCGAAACCCTGCAGCCTGAGGTTCACCCACCGCTAATGAGACCGGAGGCTTGCAGAGAGTCAGAGTCAGAACTAGAAATTTGTGTGAAACCTCTGGAGATGAGGTGAGCGCACACTGCACTGTCACATGGCTCAGCCTGGTCACCGTGGGTCTGGCAGGGTGACACTTCCCATCCAGCCAGCACCTTGCCCAGCCTCCTCCCAGGGAAGGCAGGCAGGCTGCCCCGCTGTGCCCTCACCTGGTTTTGTTCTGGTTGGTGTAAACCTTCACTTGGTCAGCCACGCAGAAAAACCTGAAATAAGAAAGATCCTAGTTCAGCTAGTGAAGGGGAAAAAAAAGAAACGAGCAAAGGATGAGGAGAGGGCAGGATTTCTAGCGAGTTATGGAAAGATGCAGGCAAATGTATGCTGCAATTGGACTGAATTGGTACAACCAGGACCCTTCTGGACTCAAATTAATTCATTCCCCTCCTGTTTCCAGCCTTCTGAAGCCTAGACAGCGACAGAAGCCCTGAAGCAGCTGATGCTCAGCAGGCACCTAAGCCAGATATAAGCAACAAAACCGTACATGATTGAGGGGATGGCACAGCTCTAGCCTAGTCCTTGAAAGCCAAAACCTGACTTGTCTGGTGCCAGATCCCGAGGCAGGGAGGAAAACTGCCCAGGGCTCTACCGGTATGCCAGCAGCATCTACAAGGAACGCCTTAGGGTGTGGATGCTGTGGAACACGGACCCCGAGGGCAGAGGAGGGGTATGAGGAGGGGTATGGGGAGCGCTCTCCCGGGGCTCCACCAAACCCACCTGTGGAAGCCAGCCAGGCGCTCCCTGAGGGAGCGGACGAAGGGGTCTATCCAGTGGTAGCGCAGCACCACGCACTGCGAGAGGCTGAGGTGGAATTCCTCCATGGCAGCCACCGAGGGCACGTAGGTGCGGGCGCGGGACACCAGCAGCTCCAGCAGCTCCAGGAATTCCTCCTGGGCAACGTCTGCGGGGCAGCGCCGTCAGGGCCGGCAGAGGAGCCCCGGGCGGGCTCCATCCCGCCATCCCCTCCGGTCTCAGTCCCGGTACCTACAGGGCAGGTAGACGTGCGTGGCCCAGTTGCCCCGCTCGTGGGGGAACCCGCGGACGCGGCCGCCGTGCCGGGCGCTGTCGTCGCTCACGGCCTCCTCCGGGTCAGGGTCACCGGGCAGGCCGACGGGGGCGGGCAGGCGGGGGCGGCCGGAGCTGCGGGACCGGAGCGGGGCGGTGAGAACAAGGAGGAGGAGGAGGAGGAGGAAGAAGAAGAGGAGCAGGCAGGCCGTGCGCTCCCGCCTCCCCTGCGCGATCCCGCCGTACCCTCTCCCTCCGTCACCTACCTGGCCACGGGGGGACCCCGCGCGCCGCCGCCCTGGCTTTTCCCTCCCCCTTCCTCCTCCTCGTCCTCCTCGGAGCTGCTGTACCCCACCAGCCCGGCCCTCATGGCCGCCGGGACATCCCCCGCTCCCGCTGGGGCGGGGGCGCAGTTGCCGGCGCGGCCCGGCAGGGGGCAGCACCCGCCGGCGGCCGCCCCGCCTCCTCCTCCGCCGCCGCGGCCGCCCCGGCCCGGCCCGCTCCGCTCCCGCCCGCCGCTCCCTTCCCTCCCTCCCTCCCGGCTCCCGCCCCCACGCCAGCGCGGGGCTCAGGGCGCAGCGCGCAGGCCGCGGCCCCGCCGCCGGCGAGGCCTCCCTCCCGCCGCAGGTGAGCGGCCCGGCCGCCGCCGCCCTTTGTGTGCGCGCCTCGCCCGGGCGGGGGGCGGCCCCGGGCGGGCAGGGACACCCCCCCCCCCATCCCGGACCCGACAGCGGGGCCTCCCGGAGCGGCGGCGGCGAAGGCCTCGGGGCGCTGTCCCCGCGCTGCCGGCGGGGCCGCCCGATGGGGAGCGGCGGGCGGCGGGCCGGGCCTGGCCGCGGGCTGCGGCGGCGGCGGTGGCTGCTGGCCTGCGAGCTCCCCGGCCGGCCCCGCGCCCCGCGGCCCTGAGGCGGCCCCGGGCCCGGCGGGAGCGGGCTGGGCCATGCCGAGCAAGGCCGCCTCGCCAGTTTGAAAGTACCTCTGCGCTCCCGACCGCGCTCCCTAAATGGTTGTCGCTTCCCACCTCCCACGGGGGGATGAGTTAGGCTGGAGCTGGCGCCGACGCGGGTCCCCGCGCAGAGCCCTCGGTAAGCCAAGGTTGGTATCGCTCTGCCCCGCGAGGAACACGCGCTTATCCCCCCGGTGGGCCGGGGTGCGGCGCCGGTGGGTTCATCCTGCCGCGGTGTCGGGGTAAGGGGGCCCTGGGCTGTGCTGAAGTTTGTGCCCCGCCGAGCTCGGGACCCCGCGAGTCCTCCCTTCGTGCCGGCGGTCAAGGTGAGCTCTCTGGGAGAAGGAGGGGATCTTGCAGGCCAGCAGGGCTGCGATGGGGCCTTTGGGCATTTTACTGGCGTTAACTGTGCTGGAGGACAAAGTAGCGCAGTGTCCCCTCAGGCAGAGGCGGGTCCAGCACTGCCCAAGCCGTGGGGCACGGTCCAGCCCCTCAGCTGAGCGCCGGAGGAGGTGGGGGGATGCTGAGAATTGAGGTTCTCTCGTGCTCTTTATTGCTTAGTTTTAAACATAACCGGGAAGACCAAGGATTTCCTTACCCTGAGGGCACGTGGTTTGACACAGGCATGGGTGTGCTCTTGTGGGGTTGGGGGCTCGAGGCCCGGGCGTGTTACCTGCTTGCCAGGACCTGCACCTTTCTTCTCTCGTGAGCTGTGTTGACAGTGCTGCTGTCTGTAGCTCGCTGGTGGGTTTTACTCTTCTCTAAGTTGATGCCAAGTTTTACTGGACATCTCTAGAAAGACTGGAACTTTTCAGTGCGCGCAATCCCCGTGATGCTGTGTAGCAAGGCCAGGCAGCAGCTCTGGCGTAGGTTGTTTGGCTTCAGGGTGCTTTTATTCCGTGGTTTGGTAGGAGGTTCAGCCGAGCCATTACTTTAACTCTTCTTTTATCTTCACAGAGTGATCCCTGTGGGTTCTGTGTTCTGTCTGTGGCTAAGATAACACTGAGGGCAAACCGTCTCCTGAGCTCTCTGGCTCTTCCCAGTCTACAAGCGCTGCCCAGAGAGAGGGAAATGTCTTGCATACATCCCTTGGGTGATGGGCCTGATATCCAAGCTGCAGGAGGAGCAGAACTGCTTCACAAGGCGGTTTCAGCTGGGGTGGGGTCAGGCTGGGATTTGCCTTGACACCTGTAAAAACTAACTCAGTAGCCTCTTAATTGCCCAGCCTTTGGTGCACAGCCTGTGCAGAGAGACCCATGTTCTCAGGCAGTGCCCCAGCGGCACTGGGAGATCCAGTGACCCACAGCCTACGGGGTAAGGCTGAGCTGACCAGGCCCTGGGTGGTTGTGCTGCCTCTCCTGAGAGCACAATACCCTGGCTGCAGCCAAGCAGAGCCCAACCCTCTCCAGGCTGAGCACACCTTGTCCCAGGCCCTTTGCACAGCAGCAAAGGGGGCTCTGGTTCTAGTTAGCTCCCTACACTGCCTTCCTGGTAGCTTTGCAGGGGCACAGGAGGGTTTTTTCAAAGAGAGCCGTGGGGGGAAATCGATAGAGAATTGCCCATCTTTCCTCCAAGACCTGACATTAGCTGTCTTCTTTCTTGCAGAGAGAGCTGCTCCCTGGGCTGCTTCCTGTGCCCTTCCCAAATGTGAGCACATCACAGCCAGCACGGAGAAGGGCCTTCTCTTGTTTTCAAGGCACTTACCTCTGCCTCCTGTTCTTTTGTCCAAAAAAAGAAAAAGCCAAACCAAATCAGTCCACAAAGAACTTGTGCTGATCTAAGGAGGAGGCTCTGGAGTCACTTCTTTTCTTCCCAAGATCCTTGCTGTGTGCTGGAGTTTCTGCCTTCAACTTCAGGGGATCAGCTACGGGGAATCAGGATCTTGGAATCTTTTGATTTTGGTTTTACTTGAACCCTTTCAACCGGGAAGCTGAAGCTATCACTGCTAAAATCCCGTTTTTTTTTCCCAAGCATGTCAGAAAGCTGGCAGCAGCAGCAGCAGCAACCACAGCAGCCGCCGCCACCGCAGCAGCACCACGCTGGGGCAGCCGCCCTCCCAGAGCACTCCATCCCACCCAGCACTGCTGACAACCCCTTGGGCTGCGCCGTCTACGGCATCCTGCTCCAGCCAGACCCCGGACTGCAGCACCACCAGCACGCCCCCATCCAGGCTGGAGACCCATCCCACAAATGTGGTGTGTGTGGCCATGACCTCACTCACCTCTCCAACCCCCATGAGCACCAGTGCTTGCCAGGCCATGACCGCTCTTTCCAGTGTACCCAGTGCCTGAAGATCTTCCATCAGGCCACCGACCTCCTCGAACATCAGTGCATTCAGGTGGAGCAGAAGCCTTTTGTGTGTGGGGTCTGCAAGATGGGCTTCTCCCTCCTCACCTCACTGGCGCAGCACCACAACGTCCACAACGGCAACGCCATGAAGTGCTCTATCTGCGAGAAGACCTACAAGCCTCCCGAGGTAGAGCATCCACAGCCTCTCGACCCCTCGGAGAAGCCCTACAGCTGCTCCATCTGCCAGAAAACCTTCAAGCACCTCTCGGAGCTGTCCCGGCACGAGCGCATCCACACGGGCGAGAAGCCGTACAAGTGCACGCTGTGCGACAAGAGCTTCAGCCAGTCGTCCCACCTGGTGCACCACAAGCGGACGCACAGCTCGGAGCGGCCCTACAAGTGCACGGTGTGCGAGAAGACCTTCAAGCACCGCTCCCACCTGGTGCGCCACATGTACGCGCACTCGGGCGAGCACCTCTTCAAGTGCAACGTCTGCGAGCTGCACTTCAAGGAGTCCTCGGAGCTGCTGCAGCACCCCTGCACGCCCAGCGGGGAGCGGCCCTTCCGCTGCGGGGAGTGCCAGAAGGCCTTCAAGCGCCCCTCGGACCTGCGGCAGCACGAGCGCACACACAGCGAGGAGAGGCCCTTCAAGTGCGACCTCTGCCAGATGAGCTTCAAGCAGCAGTACGCGCTCATGCGCCACCGCCGCACGCACAAGGCCGAGGAGCCCTTCAAGTGCAACCTGTGCGAGAAGGGCTTCGTGCAGCCCTCGCACTTGGTGTACCACCAGCACGTGCACGGCATAGAGAACCTCTTCAAGTGCAACGTGTGCCAGAAAGGCTTCAACCAGTCCTCGGAACTGCTGCGGCACAAGTGCGTGCAGAACGCGGAGCGGCCCTTCAAGTGCGCGGTGTGCAACAAGTCCTACAAGCGGGCCTCGGCTCTGCAGAAGCACCAGCTGGCCCACTGCGCCGAGAAGCCGCTCAAGTGCACGCTCTGCGAGAGACGTTTCTTCTCCTCCTCGGAGTTCGTGCAGCACCGCTGCGACCCGGCCCGCGAGAAGCCCCTCAAGTGCCCCGACTGTGAAAAGCGGTTCAAGTACGCCTCGGACCTGCAGCGCCACCGGCGCGTGCACACGGGCGAGAAGCCCTACAAGTGCTCCTCCTGCGAGAAGGCCTTCAAGCAGCGCGAGCACCTCAACAAGCACCACAGCGTGCACGCCCGGGAGCAGCAGTACAAGTGCATGTGGTGCGGGGAGCGGTTCCTGGACTTGGGCCTGCTGCAGGAGCACAGCGTCCAGCACACGGCCGAGGGCGCCTACCAGGTGGCTGCTTGCTTGCCATGAGCCTCCCACCCCGCGGCAGCTTTCGGCTTGCATGGGACGCTCCCGGGCCTCGGCCTCCCCTCCCCTCTCCTCGGTTGTAGATGACCTCCTCCAGGGAGCGTGGGGGAAAGGGGAGGTGCGGGATGCGGGCGGGTAAACTTTCCTCTGGCCTCTGTGGTTGATGTGCCGCCTGTATCGAAGTGGCGACAGACGACGCGAACATCTTGAGGGGGTGGAAAGGAAAGGAGGGAGATGGAGAGAGGAAACTCTGCCTGTAGGTGCCTGGCAGTTCCCTGGACTGTAGTTCACGCTGTATCTGCAGTTCCAGTGCCGGGAGCTCAGCTGCCTGCTACAGGCACCAGCCCCTTGTGTGCGGCCTTTCTCCCCTGCCCTGCCTGGCAGGGTTGGTGGGGAGGGCTGGCTGACCCTCCTCCTGGAGAGGGCTTAGGAGCAAGGCAGAGCCAGCCCTCCCCTCTCCTGAGGTGTGCTGCTCGGCACAGAAGTAGGTTTCAGCTGCTGGGATCTCCCACCTTCCCTTGGTCCAAGCTCAGTTGAGGGCACCATTTCAGATCATTAGTGTTGATTGACTGCCCCGACCTCCCCTGCTCTCCCTCCTCCTAGAGTGTTGAAAGGGAAAAGCCATGGGGCTGCACAGCTCCAAAAAGCACTTTGGCATTGCTGCTTTTGCAGTCGCTGGCTGTCACACTCTGCAAGGGTTCTGAGGGAGCCTGCCCGTCCCCTGTCCCCATCAGCTGCGTGGGAAACTGTAGCAAGTGCTGCGCTGCTACCAGAGAGCATGGCAAGGAGCACTGGAACAGGCTGCCCTGGGAGGTCATGGATTCTCCCTCT